TAACAACTAATCTGGAATGTCAACCCTTACCCAGATGTTTAAATGAAGACTGGGAGTTGCAAGTAGTGCCTGAAAGGGTGGTGGATATCAGGAAGAGGAATGATATCACAGAAGTCCTAATACATTGGAAGGATCTACCAGAGTTTGAAAGGTCGTGGGAAAATGCACAAGTGGTGAGAGCACAGTTCCCAGAACTCAAGCTTGAGGACAAGCTTGTTTTTCAGCAGGGGAGTATTGATAGAGACACCGGCAGCTCTAATAGAGGAGATAAATACTTCAGCCACGTTTATTCTAGAAGGAAGAAATAGTTAGTTGTTATATGCTTGTAACTACTTTCAGTTGGGAGTTTGTATATAAATAGAATAAACTGCGGTGGAAGGGGTAGGCTGTTTTTGAGACATTTTGTCTTGGCTGGGAAGTTAGAGTTTTATCTCTACTTTGGGACTCTGCACATGAACATTTACTTTCAGTATATTGTTGATTGATGTACTTGCATTCTTTCCTCTTGTGTGAGCTGATTCTTGTTAGAATTACTGTTGAAATCTTGTATAGTTCTATCAATACCTGTCTTGTATTCAATCTCAAAGTCATACCCCAATAATTTTGCCACCCAGATCTGCTGGGAAGGAGTCGTTATACGCTGAGTGAGTAGATGCTTGAGGCTACGATGATCTGTGCGCACCACAAACTTACGTCCAATTAGGTACGGACACCAGTGTTACACGGCTAAAGCTAATCCCATCATCTCCCTCTCGTAGGCTGATTTAGATAATGTTCTGTCTGCTAATGATTTGCTAAAAATAAGCAATAGGCCGCCGCTCTTGCATAAGCACCGCTCCAACCCCGATACCCGATGCATCACATTCCACCACAAATTGGCGGTCAAACTGGGGCATGGCTTTAGCACTGGTGCTTCGGTTATCGCCCTTTTCAGACATTGGAATGCCTTTTCAGCCTCTGTGGACCAATGGAATTTGGTTATTGCCTCCTTTTTAAGAAGATTTGTGAGTGGGCTTACAATCAGCCCGTATTCTTTTACAAACCTTCTGTAATATCCGGTTAGTCCTAAAAATCCCCGAATTTCACTGGCAGAACTCGGTTGTAGCCAATCGATTACGGCACTGACTTTAGCCGGATCCATAGCCACCCCGGCCTGAGAAATAATATGCCCCAAGTACTCAACCTGCAATTGCCCAAACGCGCACTTCTTCATATTTGCCTGAACTGATTTGTCTCTAGGAGGTTCAAAACTAAGTCCAACTGTTTCCGATGTTCTGCCCAGGACTTGTTGTATATTAATATATCATCAAAAAATACTAGCACAAATTTCAGCAAATAGGGATGGAACAATTCATTCATGACTGCCTGGAAGGTAGCTGGGGCGTTAGTAAGTCCGAATGGCATTACAAAAAATTCATAATGTCCGTTGTGGGTACGAAAGGCAATCTTATGAACGTCAGGGCCAGCCACCCTGATCTGATGGTATCCCAAGCGCAAGTCTATTTTGGAAAAGACCATGGCTCCAGCCAGCTCATCTAACATCTCTTGTATTACCGGAATCGGATATTTATCTGGCACTGTAGATTTGTTAAGCTCCCTGTAATCTAAACAAAATCGCCAACTGCCATCTTTCTCCTTAACTAACAAAATTGGGCTCGAGAGTGGGCTAGAACTTGGCTGAATGATACCGGCCTGAAGCATCTCATTAACCAGTCTCTCGATCTCGTCCTTCTGTGAATGGCCGTACCGGTATGGCCTTACTGAAACAGGCTTTGCTCCGGGAATTAACTCGATGCGGTGGTCTGCTGCTCGGCGAGGTGGCAGCCCATGCAGCTCCTTGAAGACCTCTGTGTGCTGCCCGAGGATGTTTCCGAGGCTTCCCCAGACCATTTAGCGATTTCACTCAATAGGACTACAGCGCTGGACTCTATATCAGTGGTCTTTAGTAGCGTGCGCAGACTGACCGCGTTTTTACACATTGTTGGATCGCCTTTGAGTTCTATCTGCCTACCATCAAGCTTGAACCGCATGGTTAGTTTCTTCCAGTCGGTCCGCACTTCTCCTAATGTGGCTAACCATGCCACTCCCAGTATAACGTCCACCCCGGCCAAAGGGAACACATAACAATCTGTTTTAACAGCACACCCAGGTAAATTAACAGGCAGCTGCCGGCACACACCTTGTGATTCTTGTCTATGTCCATCTCCCAACTGGACCCCGAACCTTCCTGTTTTATCTGGTTTGAGGTGTAGCAATGATACTAATGAAGAAGACACAAAATTGTGACTGGCACCACTATCTATTAATATTGTCACCGTGTATCCTTCAATTATTCCCCGGAGCCTCATTGTTTGAGGGCTGAATATGCCAGCCATAGCATAAAATCGCCTTCCTCACCTTCCGTTTCGTGGCTGTCCTCCGGAAACTCCTCTTGCCCTGTAATTTCGCAATAGTCATGTTGTTGCAGGTCAAGTTCTTCATCTTCTTCTGCTAGCATTACCTTTAATTGTTTGAGAGGACAATCATGCCCTGGTGTAAAAGGTTTCCGGCACTTGCATAACCTTTGGCCCGCAGCTCGTCTAACACCTGTCTAGGAAGTTTGGTGAATCGGGAACGTGCGGTGGACTGTCCAGACAGTCCTGAAGTGGACCCTACAACCTGTGAGGCGGACCCCATTGCCTGTCTGGTGGCCTTCAGGAAGCTACCATTGGTGTTGCGTGAGCTACCACCACTTGAAGCCGTTAAAGATCCTGTGTTTGGTCGGGAATAACTGCTGGAACGTGACCCCATGGAGATATAATTTGGACCTTTTCTTCCTCCATTCTGAACTGACAGATTATGATCCACATCCCGGGCTAATTCCAAGGCCGTCTCGAGGTTAACCGGCCGAAATAAGCGCAACGAGCTTCGGATTGCTTCCTTAAGTCCACTCATGTAGTAGCCCAAATAATGATCGTCAGTCAACCCCGGAACTTGGCTGGCCAGTTGAACAAACAAGGTATTGTAGTCCTCCACCGACCCAATTTGTTTGACACCCGACAGCCGTTCAAACATGTTTCCCTGATATCGCGAATCAAATCTAGACACCAGGGCTTGCTAAAATTCCTCCCAAGATATGTCGGGTTTGCGCGCCTTTAACCAAGTCACCCAATAGAGGGCTGCCCCTTCCATAGAAACCCTAGCCGATGCAATTTGTCTGTCCGGTGGGGTCCTGTTGAGCTCGAATTGCTACTCCACTCTTGTCAGCCACCCAATCGGGTCTTCACCGTCGAACGAGGGAAGTAGTGTCGTGGAAGCGCTGCGCGGTCCACCCTCGTCGGTGAAAGCAGTCCCAATGTGGGCAGAGGAGCCGCTCTCGCCGGTCGTGCTTGGAGACTTCTCTAGCGGTACCATGGCCTTCGCGATTGTTGCCAGGGATGCTGCGATTTCCGCAAGCTGGGCGGCCTGCTACTCCTGTTTCTGAGCTTGTATATCCAGTTTCTCTCCTTGTGAATCGAGCTTTTGATTGATCAGGGCCTATTCGGCCTCCAATTCCGTCAGTTGTTCGTTCTGAGATCTCGTCATTCTGGCGGGACGGGATCCGGCAGGTTGGATCAATTGATGGAAGCAGAAACTAACAATCAACGGTAAATTCCGTTGCCCAAGCTAAACAGCTAAAACCAATATTATTAATCCCCACTTTCAATAAGCCTAGGCAAGGGTTTATATAACCCTTACATCCAAAACTGAATAGGAAACTAAATCCTAGAAAGAAACATAATAGGAGTCCTAATTAAATCATATTAGGAAACTAAATAAAATAGGTAACCTCTTATCCTAATTAAAATAAACTAGGAAACTAGATAAAATAGGAAGCCTCTAATTCTAATAAGAATAGAAGTCCTAAATAAACCATAAAATAAATTAGGAAACATAATAAAAAGAATAATTAAAATATCTAGAACCAGCCCACGAAGGTGGGCTCAAGCCCGTCCCCGCCTACGGTAGACCAAAAATGGTCTGGGGCTCGGATCTGCTTCCTGCGCCCCTTCCTGCTCTCTATCACTTCGTCCCATAAAATTTGGCCAAATTTCCTTTTCCGGCCGTCCCAAAAAACTTTGTCATTTCCATTAAAAACAACAAATGTGTGGCTAAAGCTATTTCTCTCTTCTCTGCACAAATTTCAACCACAAAGTTTTTACTTTATTATTCTACGTGCAAGTCAACATTGGCCAAGTTTTATGGGACGGAGGGAGTATAAGAATGTTGTTTTGATTTTAAAAATTTATAGCACTGAGAGAGAAGATTGTACACTAAAAGTCCAAATTCTATTTCAAATATTGATATTAAAATCCATTTGTATAGCTTATTTTTCTGATACAAATGTCATCAAAATGTAAAAAAAAAAATAGTACTTAACAAATACAGACTACAAAAATAAGAAAAGTGTGCATGTAAAAAATGAGCATCAACAAAAGATAAAACGATGAAGAAATATAAATCATCAATAGCTAACAAAGAATAAGTCATTGGAAATAAGATTATATATTTACAGATTGATTATAAATAGGAAAATAAATTACTGTCAAACAATTAGAGTGAAGTGCGGGGAAGATCATACGATAGTACAAACTAAAACAATTTAGAAAAGAAGATAATATTCCGTCCCCAGATCTATTGCTTTATAAAAAGGAAAATAGATTACTGTCAAACAAAGAGTGAAACGCAGGGCAGATCGTACCAGTTAAAAAAAATTAGAAAAAGAGATAATATTCAATCACCAGAATATTGTTTTTAGTGTGTGAGGATTACAATAAAAATAGAAATATTCAAAGAATAAATAATTGGAAAAATAGTAGTATAATTGTAACCGGGCTAACTACATTTGAGAATAATCTGTGAATGTTTTAGCTCACTGTCTTCGTTGCCTCCACAAAACTCACCAATATTCGGTTCATATGAATCATGAATAGACATAATCAATTAACAATATAAAAAACTGTAGTCGAAATGTATTTCACCATGATGAAACGAAAATGGCTGAGATGTGTAACCTGGAACCAGATACCGCGGCCGTCACCTATATATGTGCGGGAATGTGTACCGGAGACTAAGGATGTCAAGCTTTTGATTCGTAGCGCTCTCGGACCTAATGGTATAGTGACGGTGAGGATGATAGTGTGTGTGTGAGGATGGTGAAGTGTGGAGCTGACTCTGGAGACTTCCAGAGCTGCTGTGCGGTGGTGTGAGAGTGAAGTGAGGTGAGTGAGGGAGGTTGTGTACATGGGCCGGTTTGCTATTAGCTCTGAATTCATAATTGGATTCCAAATTTGTATTCCTGGAAGACATGGGCCATTATTTTAAAATTACGTTCAATTAGGCTTTAGTTGTGTTTGCAAAAACTTTTTTTAATCACTTTTGAGCTTTTAGACCATTTGTAGTGGTTGAGAGACCAAAATGTTAAAAATGGATTCCGTCGATAGGAAAACAGTGTTTAGACTCTCGTTTTCTTGCATTCCAACACCGTCAATAAAATACACTCAACATATATTTTAACCTATCAATTTAGAAAAACATTAATTAAATTATCATAAGTAATGTTTTGCTTTTAATTTTTTCGCTGAATAATTATGAAATAAAAAATACATATTTCGATATAAAAATAAATAAATTTAATTAATTTTTTAAAATTTTTTTGTTAACAAAATATGAACTTAGTTCAAGTAAAGTTTGATTATGGAATATTCAATTATTTGTGAAGGCTCCATGAATTAAAAAATTGTGTTTCATGTTTTTCTGAGGTTCAAGAAAACTTCACCAGTTAAAACTTAAAAAAATCATTTAATATATTACATATTGGTATCATATGAAAGATCACAAAAATTTACGAATTTTGATATATTTTTTGAAAAATTTGGATAAAAAATAAAAAAGTTATACAAATTTAAAATTTTTTGGGATATTATGATGCAAGGATGACATCAGCATGACATCATCCGCACAAAAAAAAAGCAACCCTTTTCTCTTCTTTTTTCTTTCTTTTTCCTTTTCCCACTCCTCTTAACCAACCCTCCTCTATATTTAACCCCCTCCATCCACTTTCCCATTTTTAATACCCCTTTTAAACTACCACTACACACAATTAGGAGTCCAAAAATTCTATATTTAGCTTTTTAGACTCCTAATACCTCACCACTCCAAATGGTCTTAGCTTTGAAAAAACTAAAAGTGGTGTTTGCTAACACCAACTTTAGCTTTATTTAAGTCGTTTAAAGCCATAAAGCAGAAGCAGCTCAAGTGGTGCTTTTTTCAGCGTCTTGGTATTGTGGTAAATAATTCAAACATCCAGGATAGTTATTAGGTAGAAAAATCTCTCAAACCCCAAAATATCCTTCCCATTGTTAACTATTACTCCGTATGAAGATGCCATCGTCAGGGCCGGCTCTAGCGGTTTGGAGGCCCCAGACGAAAAACATTTAATATACCTTTGTATCATAATAAGTGACCGACTAGACTTTTTCCGTAATTTAAAATTAGGAGATTTTTTATACTGTAATTGCATTGCTTACTTTATTAAAGTGGCTTTTGGGGTGGATTTAGTTCCCAAAATAGAAGTGTGAGACTTATTTTGATACAACTCAAAAAGGAAAGTGTGACATTTATTTTGATATATATCATATTAATGTAATTTGTATAACACAGTCATTAAAATAATATAATTATATACACAGTGGGTGGGATTGATAGAAAAAGTTGGAGTGTGGCTCACCCAAGCTTTGTTGTCGGAGTGATGGGGAAGATAGAAAAAGGGGCAGCAGACAATCGAATTATTCAGGTGGGTGGAATCTGTATAATAATTTGAGGGTATATATGTATTTTAACAATACCCTACATAAAAAATCATCTTTCTATCAAACACTTCAACTTTTACCTTTCTATCAAACACTTCAACTTTTACCTTTTAATAAAAATCACTTTTATTTTCAAACACCATCTACTTTTACTTTAAATCACTTTTCCAATAATCTCTTTAAAAAATCACTTTTTCAAAAGCACGAGCAATCGCAAACACTCCCTAAGTCGGCGTTCAGTGTCATTTACTTCTTTATTTTATGATGAAATACTTCTTATACCTTTAAATCAAGAGTTTATCAAGATTGAAGTGAAGAACATATACGTATGTTAACACTACATTTTCTTTTAGTGTGTAAGCGAATATAATTTTATAGCTGCAGGATATGATGATTTTCGTTTAGTTTATCAAGAGTCATATAATATGTACTTCGTAATATATTTGAAGATAAAATAATGTATGACGATTTTCATACCTGCAGCCTGCAGGATGAGTTCTTGGAGTATTTTTGAGCAAATTCGTGCTGCAGGGGAATAAATATCTTGAAGGCTTTTGAGTAAATTCGTGCTAATAACGTATTGTAAAATGAAGAAGATGGAGAACATATTTAAGAGATAGATATATTATTAATAAACTCTAAAATTATACTACCTCCGTCCCGGTGGAATTTGCCAAGTGCAAAGTAGGTGAGAAATAAGAATAGTAAAAACTTTGTGGTTGAGATTTGTGCAGAGGAGAGAGAAATGTTCAGAACCACAAATTAGTTGCTTTAATAGGAAAGTGACAAAATTTTTTGGGACAAAAAAAGGAAAGTTGGCAAAGTCAAATGCAACGGAGGGAGTACTACTTCTTAATCTGAAAATTTCTAAGTTTATTAATGAATTTACAAGTGACTGATCAAGCCTTATTTATACTAGTTGGGCTTGGTGATGACTAGCCATCTAGGAGTAATTTACACATTTTACTGGCATCATTAAGGATTGGTTTGCAACTAATTTTAAAAAAGCACCTCTCAGCTTTTGGCTTTAAAAAACACTTATTTTCCCAAACACTACAACTTTTATTTTTCTCGACTTCCGCGTCAAAAGTGTTTTTACTTTTTCTATTAGACAAAAAGCACTTATTTTACCAAACACTACCCACTTTTACTTTTCAAAATCACTTTTTTCTCAAACATTATCAACTTTTATTTAATCACTTCTCCCTATTTCATTTAAAAAAACATTATTTTAAAAGCAGAAGCTGTTACAAACAGACTCTAAAACTAGCCATCTATCTATCTATGATTACAGGGATGGTAAGAAGCTTAATGTCCTAATTACAAGAATGATGATAAGGATGAATAATTCACATTTGTATTTCACAACAATGAATACATTAAAGTGAGTCTTTTTTTACATTGTTATTGTCTTCAAAAATGGACCGTGATATAATGAAATGATCGATAAGATTAATAGCCGATACTCATCAACGGGCTGGACTGCCTGATCAGCCCAGATCAGTATCCCTATAAAATGGTCACATTTTCTTTTATCGTAATAGGGTTTAGTAGCAAAACGGCGTCCTTCTTCGTCTCTTTCTTCTCCAAATTCTTTCATTTTTTTCTTCAGAAATTTCTAATGTTTTCTGCAAATAATGATAAAGAAGAGGGCTGGAATCAAGAAAAGGGGAGAGCTTATAGTAAATTAGCTCTGAAATACCCGCGGGTTCTCCGCGGGCTGCCCTGAGAATCATCCAGCCAAACATCAAAATAACGATGGCATCATAGTACGGTTTTGCTGTTTTTCGAAGGCTTGGTTTGGTTTCCGGGTGATTTATTTGTCTTAGTTCTATTCTGAGATAGATTTTCTGCTTCGGAAATCTTCACTATCCTTCGAATATCTTATTCTCAAACCCGCCTCCAAATGCCAGTACATCTCTTTCTCTTTTTGTTTGCTAAGAATTGAGTCTTTTTGGAAAAGTCAGATCTGGTTATGTATGAAATGTCATCAAATTATGTAGTATTAATTGTCAAATGCCGTACATGATATGGAAGAAGATGTTGTTTTAGTATTAGACTTTCTCCATCCAGAAAATTTTATGGCGGCATTATCGGTTGGATATGAATTGGCTCAGTATAATCAATACAGATTATTATTTGTAATGGCAAATAAGTCATTTCGAAAAATGAACATTCATGGATTATAGGAATAAATGTGAATTCATTAAGACAAATTTGGATTGTCAGAAGATATTCGAAGGATAGTGAAGACTTCCGAAGCAGTCTATTACAAAAGATTACAAAAGATTACAAAAGATTATTATTTGTATTGCCATTACAATAGATTTTTATTTCTAACTAGTGTTTTAGTTTTACCTATGTTGTAAAACTCGGACCGGAGAGTGACCCGGTCACATGACTGGGTCACGGGTCAACCCGGACCCGGTGGGTCAACCCGGTCAACGCCAGAAAATCGGTCAATGATTATATGTCTATATAATAATAGTAAACACATAATCATATATAAAATTATAATAAAAATTAGTTATTATTCATAATAATCAACTAACAATATTACTTATTAAGCATTTAATACACTCTCATAATATTTCAATGTATATTTTTATCTTATAAAAGTATATAATGATATTTTTATTTTTATTGTACATTTATATTATAATTTAGCATGATGCTCATTCTTAAATAAATATATAAATATATTACGTAGTATTTGTTTTTAAGGTGTTGAAATTGTAATTTTATTGGTATAAAAAATGCATTAAAAATAAAAAAGAAATTACTTTTTTTTGGGGTAAAAACACCCAAAAATTGGGTTTTACCGGATTTTTCAGGTTTCTTGGGTCCGGGTCTTGACTGGGTTTTCTCGGGTCAGCCGAGTTTTTCCGGTTTTTTATCATTTATGGGTTTTGAAAAAACCAAACTAGCTTTTTGTCTGGGTCACCGGGTTCCGGGTCAACTCGGCCGGGTCGGGTCGATTTTTTAAACATAGTGTTTTACCCGTGCGATGCACGGGAAAATATATTTTACATACGAAAAAGTAAATTTTTGAATAATACAAACGATATATACTTCACCAGTGCCGTAAAACTTGATCAAGTTTAATCTACATGTATTATAATAAAATAAAAGTTGTATGTATCATTGAGATATGTGCAAAAGGAAAGAAAAAACTTTAATCACATATCTATCACTTTGTGATAAATAACATTTTGAGATGATGGAGATTTAGAAGGCTAAAAAGTAAATTTAACCGAGTATTATGAAATGATGGAGTATAAATTAATAATTTCCAACATTAGAATTAAATTGCTGTAATCTAATAATATGAAAACTAAATATAAATGATTAAAAGTACACTGCAGACATTAAACATATACCTCGTCAACAAACAAAAAAGTGTAACATATCTATAAAAGTGTTACATATTTATCTAA